ATCCCCACAACCTTGCGGATCCGCTCGGCACTTGTTTCGCTGTCGATCTATTTTTTTTCCTCTCTCCTATATTACTATTTTTCTTCTTTTGAAGGCTCGTTTCTTTCTCCACTCGGCTGGAATTCCGAGTGCCCTATCCCCGGCGGCACGAGCACTGTCGACTCAGGAGAAGGCTAGCGTGCCTTAGTGGGCGGCGCTCTGAATGGGGCGGCGTAAATGGCAACACTTGTAGATCACTGCTCTGTCTGTCGTCTCTGGGCGGGACGAGCGTGGTGGGGTGAAAGTTGGTGTGACTTATGTGATATGTATATGTATCTATTATAAATATATAAATATATATATATATAGATATATATATATATATATATTATATTATATATATATAATAATATATATATTATGTATATGTACATAATATATCAGAATATATATATATTATATATAATATATATATATATATATATATAATATACATATAAATATATATATATATATATATATATATATATATATATATATTATAATATATAAATATTTTTTTTTAAAATATATATTCAACATATATATATATATATATATATATATATATATATATATATAATATTATATATAATAAATATAAAATTATATATATATATATATATATATATATAGATATATATATTATATATATATCTATATATATATACATAAATATAATATATAATATTAATTATAAAATAATATATCAATACATATATATATATATATATAGATATATATATTTCTATATATATATATATATATATATATATATACTATATACACATACATGGGCACGTGTGTGTATGATATTTTTTATCTTCTTTCTAGTATATGTATTGTACGTTTTATTCTGATATATGCACTGCTCCATGTATAAATATGTATCGTTTACATTCACTCTGTTGTCACACACAACAAACGCATATTTACGGTGATTAATTATGGCAAATGTATATTACATACATAAATATCTATATATCTATATATATATATATATATAGATATATATATATATATATATATATATAGATATATATATATATATATATATTATATATATACATTACAACGAATGAATAATCAAGAGAAAATACAACCGAGCATTTCGATTCAATATTCCCCCAAAATGAATTCGCATTCCCGCGAAGAATTAATCAAATGCGTCAATCAAGAGTCATTCGCTCTCCGCATCACACCTCCCCTTACCTTTACATGACACATACCCGCAAATTATCACCATATAAACTATGCCTAATCTTCTCAGCCCTGCGCATCACGACGTGTGTTATCCACTCGAATCAACATCTTCCACACCTTGATATTAGAACACCGGAATGATAATAATGATAATAATGATTAACAAAGATTACGAGGGAGATGAGATATAACAAACATTGTGTAGAGGATAAAATAACAATAAATATTCTAAAAAAAACGGAGTGGATTTCTTTTCTTTCAAAACTCCTTTCCTGCAGATGTGCCCACAATGCACGTTGGGTCTTTAATAAAGTTCAAAGTTTACATTAATGTAGTAGGGAAAAAAACGAATGTAGTAAAGTGCGTGTACAAATTACACATACGCACATATGAGGAGAATGAGAGAAAGAGATAGATAGATAGATAAATAGAAAGATAGATAGAGACACACACACACACACTCACGGAGAGAGAGAGAGAGGAGACCTGATGAGAGAGAGAGAGATGAGGGAGAGACAGAGAGAGAAGAGAGAGATGGAGAGAGGAGATGAGAGAGAGAGAGAGAGAAAGAGAAGAGAGAGAGAGTGAGAGAGAAAACCTTGATCTAGTGGACGTGATTATCGATATAAATAACGGTAAATATCCTTTATATGTTTTATATACTTACATGATACTTTCGTATATACGGCAACATTGATATAATAATATATATATAATATATATATCTATATATATATATATGTGTGTGTTGTGTGTGTGTGTGTGTGTGTGTCGTGTGTGTGTGTGTGTGGTGTGTGTGTGTTTTGTGGTGTGGTGTGTGTGTGCGTTTAATTCCAATTTAAAACTTCTCATGACTTAGATCTTGGACATGGGCATCGTAGGGAATAGGGGCTCTTCAATCTTATGCAAATTGTAACCTGAGTTCTATCAACCCGCTAAGGTTACTAAAAGTTCTGTGACCCTCAATTCATTGACATTTGAAAGTCAATCATCTACTTCTCAATCTCTAGATTATGTATTACTGGCTATCCCTAGGCTTTGGGGTATG